AGAATACTAAATCCACCAATTAAAACAGAAATATAAATTAATCCATAAAAAAAGCCTCGTAAACGTAAACGTTGAGTGTTATTTCTACACTACACTGTATCTTTTGTATCTAGTGTTCTCGCTGTTGTTTGGTTATGCGTATTAAAGTCCTAGTGTTGTCTTTCGTGTGTTTAATAACGTTGTTGCGAATGCACTTTTGCGCATGATTTTTTACTTGACGTTTGTGCATGTCCATTTGAGCGAGTGTGCTTGTGCGTATTTGTTGATTTGTATTAATGTCCTAGGATTGTAGTTTGTGTTTTCATGAACCTTTTTGCGAATGCACTTTGGCGTGAGTACTTTTGTGCATGATTTTGTACACTTACTTATGTGCGTATCTTTTGTAGCGAGTGTTTTTGTGCACGTTTCTTGATGCGCATTCGTGTCCTCGTACTGTAGCGGGTATTTTCATGATCGCTTTTGGAATCCAATTTTGACCATGTTCGAGTCCGAATTCGGAAATTTGACATTAGACAGGAATTGTAGCCAGCTGAAATAGCTTTCTAATGCCGCCGGAACCAGTTGATTTGGAGTCCGGATGAGAAAGTTATGCTCGACTTTGTGGACACTACCGAAGATGTTGAGGGATCCTCTCTTCTAATTTGATTTTATTTTCCTTATTGCAACTCTTTTCTTACTCTTTGATCATTTTTGCTTCATGGACACCTCATTATCAATTTGTACCTATAGAATACTAAATCCACCAATTAAAACAGAAATATAAATTAATCCATAAAAAAATCCACGTAAACGTAAACGTTGTGTGTTATTTCTACACTCCACTGTATCTTTTGTATCTAGTGTTCTCGCTGTTGTTTGGTTATGCATATTAAAGTCCTAGTGTTGTATTTCGTGTTTTTAAGAACGTTGTTGCGAATGCACTTTTGCGCATGTTTTTTTACTTGACGTTTGTGCATGTCCATTTGAGCGAGTGTGTTTGTGCGTGTTTGTTGATTTGTATTAATGTCCTAGGATTGTAGTTTGTGTTTTCATGAACCTTTTTGTGAATGCACTTTTGCGTGAGTACTTTTGTGCATGATTTTGTACTCTTACTTATGTGCGTATCTTTTGTAGCGAGTGTTTTTGTGCACGTTTCTTGATGCGCATTCGTGTCCTCGAACTGTAGCTGGTATTTTCATGATCGCTTTTGGAATCCAATTTTGACCATGTTCGAGTCCGAAGACTTGTAGAGGTAGTTAAGGCTGTGACCTGGAGT